CCAAAAATCCATGAGATCATGCTGAATGCACCTGGGCTTCAAGGATTTCTCACGGATTCTCTCAGAACATCTAATCAGTCTATTCTTCACTCCCTCCGTTCTCAAACCTAATCTGGCTTCTCGGGAAAACTCATCAGCTGAAGTTTAATTTAAGCCCAACCAAAAATCCATGAGATCATGCTGAATGCACTTGGGCTTCAAGGATTTCTCACGGATTCTCTCAGAACATCTAATTAGTCTATTCTTCACTCCCTCCGTTCTCAAACCGAATCTGGCTTCTCGGGAAAACTCCTCATCAGTTGAAGATTAATTTAAGCCCAACCAAAAAGCCATGAGATTATGTCGAACGCACCTGGGCTTCTCTCAGAAAGTCTCATTAGTCTATTCTTCACTCCCTCCATTCTCAAACCTAATCTGGCTTCTCGGGAAAACTCCTCATTGTTTCACAGCCGAAACAGCCGAAGACCCTTTTTGAAATCGGATCCATGCACAAGCCTAATTGCTATCACTGCTGTTATAGATCCAAATACATATTACACAAGGCATGGGCAAACTGGCTGTTAGGAATTGTGGGAGTTGAAGTCCAAAACGCCTGGAGGGCCGAAGTTTGCCCATGCCTGCATTACACTGTCCCGATTCCTTCCTTATTGCCATAGGACGCGCAGGAGTTTTCCAAGCTGTTCATGTCGCTCTTAGAAGACACGCTTTCCTCCCAAAAGAACCCAGAAGTTCGGGACATTGTCCAGAAGCAGTTTTGCGGAGAATACGCCTACGTCACTGTGTAAGTCCGGCACTTGCAGAAATCCTTCTCCTACCCTTCCTTCCCAAGGTCTGCCTGCATTTGCTTTAAGTCGTTGCGCTTCCCCTTTCAGTTGCAACCAGTGCGGCCGGGAGTCCAAGCTGATCTCGAAATTTTACGAGCTTGAATTGAACATCCAGGGCCACAAACAACTCTCGGACTGCATCACCGAGTTCCTAAAGGTAACTACAACTCTCTTTTGGCGAAGGAGTTGAGGCTGGAATCCCTTGAAGAGCCCTTTCGGGAAGCCATTTGTATTTTAGGACAATGTTTGTTTGATTATATTGTACCTCACCTTGAGCCATGAGAAGAGCCGGGTAATAATAATGCAAAAGGAGGAAATAGTATATATTGTATATACTCGTGTATAAGCCTAGTTTGTCAGCCCCTTTTTTAGGCTGAAAAAGTTCCCCTCGTCTTATTTATTACTGTTACATTTATTATCGTACTCTGTTATTTTTATTACATTTATTATTTTACTCTATTATTGTTATTAGTACATTTATTTTATTTTTATTATTTTTATTTATTTTATTTTATTGATATTATTGTTATTATTACATTTATTATTTATTTATTATTATTTATTATTTTACTCTGTAATTACTATAATTTTTATTACTTTTATTATTCTACTCTATTCTTGTTATTAGTACATTTATTTATTTATTTATATTATTTTTATTTATTTATTTTATTGATATTATTGTTATTACATTTATTATTTCGGGTTGAAAAAGCCCGCCTCGGTTATACTCGAGTCAAGGTTACTTATTACTTTACTCTGTTATTAGTATAATTTTTATTACATTTATTATTCTACTCTATTATTGTTATTAGTACATTTATTTTATATTTATTAGTTTTATATATTTTATTTTATTTATTTATTTATTATTATTATTACATTTATTATTTATACTGGAAAAGCCCCCCCCCCCAGCTTATACTTGAGTGAAGGTTATTCTTATTTTATTCTGTAATTAGTATAATTTTTATTACATTTATTATTGTACTCTATTATTGTTATCAATGCATTTATTTTATATTTTTAATTTATTTAATTTATTTTATTATTTTTATTTATTTATTTTATGTTATTGTTGTTATTGCATTTATTATTTTGGGCTGAAAAAGCCCCCTTTGCCTTTTACTTGAGTCCAGGTTATTTATTATTTTACTCTTGTTATTAGTATAATTTTGATTACATGTATTATTTTGCTCTATTATTGTTATTAGTACATTTATTTTATTTTTATTATTTATATTATTTATATTATTTTTATTGATATTATTATTATTACATTTATTATTTAGGCTGAAAAAGCCCACCTTGGCTTATACGCGAGTCAAAGTTATTTATTATTTTACTCTTGTTATTAGTATAATTTTGATTACATTTATTATTCTACTCTATTATTGTTATTAATACTTTTATTTTATTTTTACTGTTTTTTTAATTTATATTATATATTTTTTATTGATATTATTATTACATTTATTAATTTGGGCTGAAAAAGCCCATCTCGGCTTATACTCGAGTCAAGGTTGTTTATTATTTTACTCTGTTATTAGTATAATTTTATTACATTTATTATTTGACTCTATTATTGTTATTAATACTTTTATTTCTACTATTTTTATTTATTTATTTTTATTATTTTTATTTATTTATTTTATTGATATTATTATTATTACATTTATTATTTTGGTCTGAAAAAGCCCCCCTCGGCTTATACTCAAGGTTGTTTATTATTTTACTCTGTTATTAGTATAATTTTTATTACATTTATTATTTTACTCTATTTATTATTATTATTGCATTTAATATTTTAATCTATTTATTATTGGTTTTATTACATGTATTATTTTACTCTATTATTTTTATTACATTTATTATTTTGCTCTATTATTTTTATTACATTTATTATTTTACTCTTATTATTTTTATTATATTTATTATTTTGCTCTATTATTATTATTATTGCATTTAATATTTTTAATCTATTTATTATTGGTTTTATTACATGTATTATTTTACTCTATTACTGTTATTACATTTATTATTTTGCTCTATTTTTATTAAATTTATTATTTTACTCTATTTTTATTACATTTATTAATGTATTACTGTTATTAAATTTATTATTTTAATGTATTACTGTTATTACATTTA